CTGGCAATTAGTTCTAGCTAACAAACTAACTAACTGTTGGAAAATACAATCACCAAAACTGTAGCACAGTCTTCTTGAATAGCACAGTCTTGTATAATTCGCCGCAAAGCAGACATATTATTGGTCAGATAATTGCATAACAAATGCTCAAATAACAGCACAAGCAACAGCACAAACAGGCCAGTTAGCTGAGGTGAAGCCTAGCAAAATGCTAGCTATCAATCAAAGAGGCCACACCCCTAATCTTGCATAACTGCTTTTCAGCCTGCTTTTACTATGAAAACAAAGTTGCCATTTATTTATTTATTTTTTTCACAGGTGTCTTTTAAGTTTTTTCTGAAGATGAGAAGGCATCAGTTGTTACCGTTGTGTACCCTTCTGGGTGTCGTGTTTGCAGGACTTCTTCCTAAGCTCAGTGCTTGGGAAGGTAAGTTCAGTCAAGTCAATCTCATTAAAGAAGCGGCAGAAGTCATTTTACAGATGTTAAGTTTTCATCAGCACTCAGTGGGATTTTTATTGTCTAAAATATTTAGTCTCTATTTACACCTGCTGGACTGGTTATTTTTATTATTGCAGTTATTATGTTTTGGACCTGAATTCAAAAAGTTCTTCTCAATATTGGGCAAAAGCTTTAAAATAGACACATCAGAATATATGAAACTGTATGTTTATACTGTACTGTACTGTATAAAATATGTCTAGGGGTCATCGCACAGGACATACTCTAATGCCCACTTGAGACATCACACCATAACTGGGACCCAGTTTTTGTTTGGCTGTAGTTTTTATTATATATATTGTATCTTAAGAGCTATATAACTGAAAGCATCACATTGCTAAAAATCAGAAGCTGTAACTGTATGTTCTTCTATCCAAAATACCTAACCCTTTACCACATAATTTAATATAAATATAAAATACTGCATAAATCTGATATTTGAATATCCTTTTTAAAAGATTTTTTGTGGCATTTTTGCCTTTTTTTTTTTACCTGGTAGAGGAGTTCAGCACCAAGCTGAACTGGTGTGCTGATATTAGAATGACACCTTTGATAGCCATAACTATTGATAGATATTGTTTGACTGACATAATTTTTTTTAACTCTTTCAGCTGCAGAAAGCCATCAACAGTGCCTGTAAATTGATCAGGAGGTTTGCAACCAATCAGTCCAGTTGCAGTTTAAGTGGGTATCACCCAGTTTAGTGCTTTCCTGAGACTCCGGATAGCTCTCAACACCCACGGTAACAGAGACACAATCATTTCTGCTTTGGGTAATTTCCAATCAAGACCACGACAGATAGTCAACATTGGAGCAGCACTGAACTTTGTCCAGGAAAATATGTTGTACTGCCTGAGAGGGCAGCCATATTCAGCAGGGAGTACCCCACTGTTGCTGAAATGTGCAATGACAGTGTGGAAGAATCTGCAACAGCTAATGGGTGTGTTGATTCAGGCTGCAGGCTCCAAGGCTGCTGACAAACAGGAGCTCAAGCAGATTGCTTTTCCAGACAGTATTGTGTTCATGACGAAGGACTTCCGACTACTACTTAGAAAACCACCGAAAATTCTTCATGCTCTGTCTTATTTAGCCCCATAATGCCAGGAACTGCTCTTTGTCTCTTAGATTCGACACACCTAACTTAAACTGCACATCACAGTGATGTTTAATTCATGCAGTACATAAAGAAAAGCATGAATAAATGGGTGGAAATACATCTCATTCAGACACTTCTAAATTAATGAAAACCACTAAAATCCTGTTCTCGCACCAAAAGAAACATGAAGTTGAAGTGAACACTAAACACCAGGTTGTTCTGGTGATGCGAGAGATGTTTTTAAAATGTTTCATTTGTAGGCACTTTGGCCCTGCATCTCTGTGGTTTGGAGTTTATGATTATAATTGCAGAAAGCAATTAATGAGTTCTTGTGCTTTTCCTTGGTGTTGGAGGTAACCACAGCGCAGCCAAGAATAGTGCTCAGAGACATTGTCTTGCTGGTGGATTGCTCAAACAGTATTGGCAGTAGTAACTTGCCCTGCGTGAGAGAATTCATGATCAGTGTTATCAACCACCTGCATGGACATGTCTCGTGCAGTTTGCTGACCATCCAAAAGTAGAATTTTCCTTGAACACCTACCACACCAGACAAGAAGTTATAGACAAACTGCCTCAGCTGATGCTAACTGGAGGCTCAGTTGTGAATACAGGAGCTGCTATGAGTTATACCCTAAAAAACATGTTTTCTTCCACTAATTGTGGACCTAATACTGTGGCCACAAGATCTGCTGGATACGGGGATAAATTATGTTTTCCCTTAAATAGTTACTTCAAGCTTGGGGATAAAGCCCACAGACAGACCATGAATCCTTTGAACCATAAAGAACCTGTAAATAATTTTACCTTATCTGGAAACTGCTTCTCCATGTAGCTCTGCACCGTGTAACAAAAAGGTGTTTGATCAGACTTTTCTTTTTGGTCATTTTGATTCAGATGATGACATAACATTCACAGGACTGTTGCACTATAGTGCATATTAAACCTAGAAGTTTTACCTGTTTTACCTTTACCTTGGACACCCGACCCAAAATCCATAAAGTGAGTTTTGCACTGCCAGCACTCCTGCTAAACAACCTTAAAAGGATGTGACTCACTATGTCTCTGTATGCTGAAAAAGTATGTAAAAATAAGTTTAACTTCACTGGAGGAGGATCATTTTTTCCTTTCCTGCATTTTTTGCAGTTACCAGTGGTAATTCTTTTCAGTACATATGTAACACCCCCTCTGGCCACAATGTGGCAGTGTTCCCAGTCAAATTTTACACACAGAAGCTTGTATGTAAATCTGGAAGTATCCAAAAGATGAAACAGAGAAAGTGTTTCATTTTGTCTCCTGGTTAACATGGTTACTGCACTTTTCTCTTTTCCCCACGGTTACAGTATTGAGTGTCCCTGCCTCTTTTGCACAAGACCAAGGTTCGATTCCCTGATTGAGAGATACTCCTTGTCTTTCTCAACCTTTAGAAAAGCAGAGTGCACACTGTGTGTAGGTCTTGAGGTAGGTTGGTGTTCCAGAGAATAGATTGTCAGGAATAGATCGTCTTTCTGTGCTTGGTTTTCTCTACAGTGTAAGAATATAAAAATACAGATGCAATAAAATTGGTCTTAATTTTAAGCACATGAAAACAGCACAAGCTGCATTTGTATGTCTTATGTATATTTTGTCTTTTTACTATGCACTTTATTAACACAGGACACTCAACCCTCATTAGAGTAAGCACATAACAGACCTCTATTAAAACGCATTTATAGTTTGCTACTACTTCTACATACATGAGAGATTAAGGCCAACACCTGTAAATATCTTCCCCTTTTCAACTGCCAAATTCTTCTTTTCATTCTGATAAAAAACAAACAAACTACAAAACACGACAGCTATATTTTCCTGCCACAGCTGGAACCCAGTATGAAAATGGTGTTTAGATTGAATTACGAAATATAGTAAATAACTTTGAAAAAGTGCTGTTATGGAGTAGAAATTCAGAAGACTTCATGTCTGGGCTAAGCCCCTGATATTTGAAGGTCCAGATGATTTTCCCTACCTATATCTGTGAAAAATTGTTTCTAATATGTGCAGTGTGGATCTTACAGTTTTCCAAGCTACTGCATTTGATCAATAAATCAACATTTCTATGAAGTGGTGCTTTTCCAACTGTCCAAATACGCAATTCTCCTGCTTCCGTATAACAACTCTTCTTCGAGCATGGTGTACGCTCTACAACTGCTGTTAATGTTTCTTCTGCAGTCTGAATATTTACTGTCATTTTACCTCCGTGCTCTCTGTAGTATTTATCATTACCTTCTTTACCTACATTAATCAATATAGGAGGTCACTAGACGTTATTGTATTATTGAGTAACTTTCATGTTTTAATTCCTGCTATTTCAGTTGATGTCGGTGGTAAATAATCTGTACATTTTGCATTTAGTGAAATAGTATACCTACTGCCTTTGGCCTTAATAATACACATCAATTTTTTCTCATTAATGAAATGTTTGAACCACTGGTTCCCCACAGTGCTATATGTGGTGAACTTGCCCCACCATAATCATTTCCCTTGCAGACGTTCACCAGGAAAATATATTCCGCTGTGGTGGCGAGAAGGCTCTGGCACCCTGCTGATCCCTGGATTCAGGAGTAATGTGAATTGGCCACAAAACAGTAAACCAGATCTTCACCCTTGTTTGACAATGGGTGATGGACCATCCAGGATTATGGATTATGTCCTTTTGGGTTCAATATTCCAGGCCATTAGGTCCTCATATAATTTAGGCGAGAGCTGCGTTTGCAACCTTCCATCAAAGTGGAGGAACACAGATTCATGTTGCTATGCTTGAATGCTTCATAGTTTGGTGTTAAGCAGCTTAATAAACAAAAAGATACAAACAAAAAACCCTTCTTATGGAAATGGTTTGCAGTGCAAACACTGGCTGAATGGAAGGGACCGATTGCTTTCTTTTGTAGATTGTCTCATAAGAAGTCATTTAAAAGTCATCAGTGATCCAGGTGATTGCACTTGGCCCAGCTGTGATCATTTTAACTGAAGAAAACGTGAAGTGTTATTCTACTTACTCGGTTATATACTTTGATTTTGTTTCCACTGTTGAGAACACACAGGGTGATTTTATACTACAAATGTACATGTGTTAGTCAAACATAAACAGAAAAGTGCTGTTGCATTAGCACTATATATTTTATATGAATAAGGGCCATACCCCATTGAGTCCTTCCAGTTAAAAAAAAACTGCGATTTAACAGTCATTTTTAAATTCAGATCTCTTAACATCCAGCAAATGATAGGTGGGGTGTGTTTCGCTACTCCAAAGCAATGACGGTAGAAAATAGGTCCAAAGTCTCAACGTGGGCATCTATGGGGACTTTGGAGCCTCAAGGGGACGTAAGTGGAACCGCAACTTTTAGTACCTCGCTGTTGCTTCACTTTCAGCTGTGGCACCCGCTGCTGGGAGGCACGGCGGAGATAGCTGCAACTGATGCAGTGATGCGCAGTAGGAGGATGCTTTTAATCCCTCAGTTTTTAATTTTTCACAATTTTTTTCCCAGCTCAGTTAAATTTCAGCTCTTAGATATTATACATGTGTTTTAAAATTCAATTTAACTATTCAGTTGAGAAGGAGGGCGCTCTTTCAACCCTGGAACTGAATCTTTCCACTTTTCCACTCCCAGTGGAACATTTCAAGGACCTCATAGACTGACGCACTGACTTATTTGGGAGGGTTTCCGGGATCAAAGGATTTACAATATCGTTTCACAATTAATCAAGACGACGAAAAGAACATGATACAATGCTGACAAATCACGGAGGAAGTCACCCATCTCGCAACAAGTATCGTTATGGAAAGAATAATCGAAACACACGGACAGTTTTGGTTAGGTTTCAATTCCTGAGAATGACCCGCCCAGCTGAAGTCTTCTTCCTCAGTCTTCTCTCATCTGTATCCTCCGCAAACAAGGAGGAGAAGCCTCTTTGTTTTATTGCTCTCCAAAACCGCTACATTAACCTGGCTACGGAGCTCAACTTTAAACCGAGAGGACTGAAGAGCGGACTGAATGAAATGTGAGTGAGCTTTGGTCAGTATTTGTTTTGAGCCTTCATTGTTATAAAGATAAATGGAAAAATAGTAAATGCGTAGTAAGGATGCAACTAGTTATTTTTTGTGGTTCTTCGTTTTACTTTACAGGGTTTGCCTTTCTAAGATGACACTTCGCTTACTTATATTACCTTACATTACATATCTTCCTGTCTCCACTTAATACCTACTGTATCACATTTAAAAAGACTTAACCAGAAAGCAATTAACCAGTTTTTGAATGATTCTGTTGGTTCTGTTGCCTTAAGTCTTTTGGATTTGTGGATTGAACAAAAACATTAAACACTAAAGCCACTTCCTGGTTTTATTCTAACCTCTAGCTGGCATTGTAGAGCACACCACTGAAACCACTGGTGTGCTTCTGAATCAGAAGTACGGAAGAGGATTAGAACCATTAAAAAATGTGGGGAGTCATTTGGAATTGTAATAGAAAATTCCTATTATTCTCATTTAAAGTGTTTAAGTGGCTTATGCATATGCCTAGTTTTAACACTGTAATAGACTGTTCAGTGTAAGTTTCTAAAACTATATTAACTTATTTCAGCCTCAGTAGTTGGAGAAGACAACTCCCTTTGCAGGTGCTAATAACGACAAGGGCACAAAACAACGAGCCTCGTGATGTGTGGTGTGATAAGTTTGTGACTTTTTCCCTCTTCCTTGTAATGGATAAAGAAGTGGGAGCACTACTTCTGTTTCAGAGCTCTCATGACTGTAGAACTGTGATGTTTGATTTGTGTTAGCTCTCCTGCTTACAGTAATTTAAATGCCTTGACCACAGCTGACCTGTATTATTATACGTATTATCGAGGCTGCTGTCTCGATGTAACTAAACATCCTCTTTGAAATAAAAAAGAACTGAACTGAACTGAGGATAAGTGGTGAGACCACAGGCTGCTTCCTGGTTTTAAGGAAGGAAGCAGTGTTTCTGTATCTTGCTTCTGTGTTTGTTCCTTGCATGTGTGAATGCAACAAAGAGCTGTGTTAACTGCCGACACTTTTCAGAAGTGTTTGTAAGGTCATGCAGTGATCTCCAACACAGGTCTGTTTCTAATGCAGTACAGGCCTGAACCCTATCAAGATCTAAGCTCTGCGTCCTGGCTCCTGTGTGCAGAAACCTCTCTAGAGTCTCTGAATCTTTCATTTATTAAATTGTTGAAATAATTGCCCAGTTTCATAGAATGATGAATTCCCCATATTTACTTTAAAAACGCTCTCTTTCTCTGGGATGTTCTTTCAAAAGACAGTCAAATTATACAAATTTTATTCAAAATATTTGTTTAGCACTATACTGTTTTTCCAGTTTTTAGTTTCACAGGTGCCAACTTATTGTAACTTATAGGTTTTCAGCAATATATGCTGCCATCCAGATTACATCTTTTTCAAGTTCTTGCTTATTTCATGAAGACAATGCTAAGTCATATACTACATGAATTCCAATTGTGTGATTGCTGGGTAACCAATTGCTAAACAGCCCACCCTGTAATCAATACTTGGCACCTATCGAGACCACAGAAATAAAGGAGACCAAAAACTGTATATATACTGAAATCCTGTATAGCAAAGCACATCTTAACGATTATTGAGATTAACAATGTCATACATATTCCCCCTGAAACTAAATAAATTAGTCTCGTTGGTTCTTAAATCCCTCCCTTGTTACTCCTAAACTGCCTCAGCCATGTGTTTATAATACTTCTACTTTTTTGCAGCATTACCAATATGTGTGAAAAGTTGACCAGCCATCATTGATGATCAGGAAAAATTAAGGTGAGGCTGAACTTGCTTAATTTGAGTTACAATCAATACAGTTCCTTTTCCTCTATTGCTAATATTTCTATTTAAATTATTTTGTAGCATCACTAATCTATATTTGTGAAAGAGGAAGCAGTACTGTCATGGCAGATCAAGGTGAAATGAAGGTAAGTAAAAATTGAAAAATGCTTCAATAAAACAAATATTAAGAAGTGAGCTTTTATATATTAAAACATAGGGTTCATGTTTTAAACTGTTCCACATAATACTAGACATATTCACTAAATATTGAAGTGTCTAATAATTAATTTAGAAATTAGGAATGTTAACTGGACTTTATATTTCAGTGCCAGGAGGATGATCTGTCATCAGACATACAAGATTGGAGTAAACATCAAGTGAGGCAATGGGTTCTCCAATTGGATCGCGTGGATGACAAAGTTGCTGAAATATTGTTTAATGAAGACATCAATGGTGAAAGTCTTCTGCTTTTAGATACAACTGACTTAACCAAAATTGGTGTGACTTTTGGACCGGCTAAACTTCTCATTCATGCCAGAGATGAAGTTGTGAAATTTAAAAAAGAAGAGCCAGTAGGTTCTAGAAACCAGCCTGGGAAACCGTGCAAGCCGTATCCATTTTGTAGATACCACGATACATTCAGATACACGGAAAGCAGCATTCTTGATGTTACAGAATCAGGTGCCTCAGATTTGATTGAACCCTGCCATGAGTACAAAGCTTTCACCAGCACAACAGAAGAAACTAAAATGAAGAAGTTCACATCTGAGGTCATTCGCTTTGCAGCTGCCTGCATGAACAGCCGCACCAACGGCACCATACATTTTGGAATAGGAGACAAACCAGAGTTCACCCACGGTCAAGTGTTGGGAGTGGTTGTTGAGGACACAGAGGCTTTTGGAAATGAACTAAAATCTGCCATTGATAGGTATTTTGAATATAAACATAAACAAGCTGCTCAGACATGCATCAAACCTCCACGATTTGTTGGAGTTCTCAACAAGAACATGACATCATCTGACAAATGTGTCATAGAAGTCGACGTTGTTCCAGAGACTACGATCTGTGAAGAAAACGGCTACCACACAAACACCAAAAAAAAGGGCAAGAAAAAAGGCAAAATGAAAGAAACTGAATCAGAACCATCAAAATGTTTCTTTATCCGTGATGGTGGTAGCAGCAGAGATCTTCTTGCGCAACCAAACAAGCGAGAGTACGAGCAGTTTCTAGAAAGTATGGCTCAGCGATTAGAACTCCGGAAAAAGGCAGAAGAGAAGCACCTCAGTGTGATAAAAAACAGCACTCAGGGCTCTAAACTCAGTCACATGATCACTGGTGGCTCTCTGTCTTTAGATAAATCAAATGTTGAGCAGTATGTGATAATAACTAACAAATCACACCCAAGCCAGTTAGATTATCTAAAATTTCTTGTAGATCTGAACCCAACAGCGGTGTTGGACTTTGATCCAGAATCAGCTAAACAGGGATTAGAGCAATATTTTGACCAGCAGAGCCCAGTAAATATTCATTCACCGGCACGATATAAAATCACAGAAGGAGTTGAAGACATTGCGAACAAGTTGAAATTAACTCAAAACACCAGCTGGGTGTTCTGCAATGGAGGCATTGAGCATGAGTCACCCTCAGACATTGACCAGTGGTTAATGGATAAGGGAGCCTCCGTCAGAGATGTGATTTCCTTCTTGTGTCGCAAAGATGTCCTTCCAAACAAGAGGTTCCTCGTCATTTTTTTAATTTTGTCAAGAGTAAGTGAGAAGATGGACCCCCTTGTGGAGACTTTCAGTACATTCTGGCAGGAACTCAGAGGCACAGATCAGATCCTTTGCATATGTGACAATGACAAAGCATTCAACTCCTGGAGAGACTTAATTGAGGCTCGATGTGGAATCGACATCTCAGGTAGATGCATACACGATCTCAGCTTTGCAGAAGTCAATGGCACTATCCTTAGCCTTTGGTCAGAGAATCGCAGATCCAGTCGTTTCCTACCATGTGGTGGAGGAAGCAAAGTGCTATTTGAGAAGAAAGTGGAGCGAAGTCTGAGTACCTTAGATGTCCTTTGCGTGAACCAATGTGAAGGAGGAAATGAGGAAAAAAATGTGATAGAGGAGAACTTCTACAAGGGTGGAAAGGTGACGTGGTGGAATTTTTATTTCTCGGAGCAGCCCGGATCCACACAGTTTATCAAACGAGACCACTTTGACTACATCAAGGATACAATCATACCTGATTTATCCTCTCTGAGAAAAGCCTGTGTGTTGTTTAACCTCATGCATGTACCTGGATGTGGTGGGACAACTTTGGCCATGCACATATTGTGGTCTCTCCGGAACATATTTCGTTGTGCTGTCCTCAGGAACAACAATGCTGACTTTGCTGAAGTAGCCAGTCAGGTGACCAAACTTCTCATGTATGACCATCAGGAGCAGTTACCAAGTGTCCCTGTTTTGCTGATGATAGATGACTTTGATGATATGGAAAAAGTATTTGACTTGCAGCAGCTCATTGAAAAAGAATGTGAAGAGAAAAAAATTCAGTCTAAGTCTGCGCAGGTGGTTGTCTTGAACTGCATGAGATCAGAGTCTTCTGAAACGACTGGGCAAACTGCAGATACTGTATTCATTGGAAATAATCTCTCTGAGAGGGAACAGAAACAGTTTGAGGAAAAACTAGTCGAAATAGAGAAAACTTACAAAAACACTGAAACATTCTATGGTTTCATGATCATGAAGAAGAACTTTAAGTCAGAATACATTGAGAGTGTGGTCCGCAACACACTGAAGAGCTTCAATATGAATCAGAAAAATGCCCAGCTTCTTGCAGTTTTAGTTCTGTTGGATGTTTACTGCCGCGGGGCCTCTCTATCAGTCTCTCTGTGTGAGGAATTCCTTGACCTTCAACCAAAACCGTTTTGTGGATCCAACAAAGTTGAATGTGGTTTTGGAAAATTTTCTACTTTTATAACCAGCTGTTCAGTCCAGGGTAAGGTAGTCTTCAGAGCTGTGAAAATGATTCACTCAAGAATTGCAAAGCAGTGTTTGTTGGAACTTAAAGCAACACACAATGTGAAAAAAGTTGAAATTGCTGACCTTCTGCTGAACACAGACACGTTTTATGAAAGCACACAAGGCAAAAGCAAGCTCCTGCAAGATGTTCACCACATTTTGGTCAAGCGATATCATGAATTAGAGGAATCACAGTTCTCTCCACTCATTCAGGACATTGCACATGAAACACCTGGACTGGAAGAGATGGTGTTAAAAAATGCCTCAAAGAGATATGAGAAAGATCCCATTGTCTCCCAGTTACTCGCCCGGTACTATTACCTAAGAAAGAAAGATTTTGTAGAGGCAAAATTTTGGGCAAAAAAAGCAAAAGATCTTTACAAAGACAACTCCTATATTGCAGATACATCAGCACAAGTGATCAAGCATGAGCTCAAGAATGCCATTGCAGACTGCAAGGAAGAACCCATCCGTCCAGAGAAACTGAAAACACTTCTGAAACTGGCTCAGTCAGCATTGGAAGCATTCCAGGAAACACAGAACCTTGCAAAGAAGGAGTCACTCCAACGACTACAAATCAAAACAGACAACTGTACTTTCAACACCTCTGGCTGCCTGGGAGAAATTCAGGTTGGTGTGCTTGTCACTGATGTGCTGGCAAAGACCTCTGTGTTCTCTCCTGATGGTCTTCGTCATGACATAATGAGCCAGGTTCTTTCTGGAGATCTTAAACTTTACGACCTAGAAAGTAAGGATCGTTGGCACACCAAAAACAAACCCTACTATGTCATTCTGAAACAGTTTGAGGATGTACTTTACAACCTCAAATACAGGATGAAGAAGAACATAGACTTCCTTGACAATTTTTATGTAAATCTGGGCTCCAGATTTGGAATGAAAGATAGCCGTGAGCAAATGTCCCAAAATGAGCTTTTCAGATGTTTCAGAAATTATGCAAAGGTTTTCTGTAAGACAGATTCTGCATCTCTTTTGAAGAATAAAACCTTGCACACTATGTTGGAACTACACCAGACGAGACAGTTCCTGGAAGAGGAAAAGGCTGACACCTATTCTGGGATTCTGAGCTGTCTCTCAAATGAAACCTCAACTGCAAAGTTGGAAAAGATTGCTAGACAGTATCTCTTTATTTGGCAGTGTAACCCAACTCCAAAGGAGAAAGTGAACTTTATCTATGTCAATGTTGTGTTGAGTCGTCTTAAACTGGGATCACATGTGTTACAGCCATATGAAACCATGGTAAATCTTCTCCCCCAAGTTCTTTGTGGGCAAATCCCACTGAGTGAGAGTTTGCCGCTCTACTTCATTGCAGTTCTGCTGTTATGGCCAGAGCCAAACCGTCCGGTATACAGAGAACTTGGAAGGTACATCTCACAGATGAAAACCTCTTATCATGCAGAGATGAAGGAAGTGTACAATGGCAAGAGTCCCGTTATTCATTTCCTCCTGGGAAAGAAGCCTGGTTATGAACGACTGGTCCACATTGGAGAGATCAAAAAGTGCATCGTGGATGGGCAACAGCAGTTTGCCTCCATGTGGGGAAGTGGCACAATATGGAAGGAGAAGAAGGTGGAGGAGCTCCTTTATAGGGTCACAGGGGAGGTGCATAGTGATTGCATAATGGCAGATACTGGTCTTCCAGTCACCCCAATGTATCGGAGCCAGATTAGTGGGCATGCAGAGGGGTCAAAAGTGTCATTCTTCATAGGTTTCTCCATGAGAGGACCTGTTGCATTTGACATTGGACAAAAATGATTATGCATGGTCATGACAGAGATGAGACATGCTAGCTTTTTCTGGCAGAGTTTGCACTGGACATCTGCATAATTGTCGTCTTTGGCTTATATGTGATTATGTTTTCCTGTGTACTTTACATAAATGATGTTTGTATTTTTGTTATTGTTGCAAGGGGTGGGGGCATTTGTCATACAAAACCTTTGAGCAATGTCTTAACAACATTTACACTGTAGCTCACAAGTCACTGCAAATGTTAGTCTTTTTTAATAACTGATATGTGATATTTGAAAATGAATGTAACTGTTACTGGTTGGCGCGTTTTAGGTTATATGACTGAAAGTGATATATGATGGATTTAATAGTATAGTTAAATCATTTTTATAGTACATTTATATTTGATTTGTGTACTTTTGTACTACTAATTTTTTGCATAATGATTATTTGATTAATACAACTAAGTTGTATATGAAGTTGTCTAACGTTTAAAATTCCAACACTTGACGTTTTATCATATTGTCTTATATTACTTTTGCAGTTTTTGCAACATGATTTGTTTTTTGGTTTCCATGTAAAATCTAGCACTGAATTTTGCAATACCTTTTCTACCTAATAAAGATGTACTGCAACATTACTATGTAAGGGTTACTTTAAAATGCACTGCACATGCACTCTAATAGTTATATGTAGACTCCAGAAATGAAGAAGTGCATAACTATGTTCGAATTAGGGGGGAAATGAAATTGAATTGATCAGTTTAGGTCATATGCAAAAGCTCTAAGAAGCATTTGCATTATATAACCCTGTGACTGCTCCTCATACAGCCTAAAGTGTGAGGTGCTTTATGCTTTTTTTGGATGACAGACCAAAAAGGAAGAAATGGTATTTATGAAACATTAAACAATGCAGGATATATAGTTAAAAATGGATAACTACAGTTTATTGTCATGCAAACAATAAAATGCATATATTCAGGCAGCTAATATGTTAAAAAGTGAATGGTTAACAGGGCAGTGCTGCCCTCTTTTATCTTCCCATCTACTTCCCCCTTGCCCTGCACAGGCTTGTGAACACACGGGCTCCACATGGTGTTACCTATCATTATACCTGTGGGTCAGGATGATAGGTATGGAGTCTCGCTGAATGTGGGTGCTACTTTCTGGGCTTTGTGAGTATAAGTTCATGGCCCCCAGAGACACATCTAGTCTCTCTCACACTCATGGCTAAGCAGCAGGTGGCTCACCATGTGACACACATCAATAAGAGATTACATTTCTAAATCTGACACAAGATAGTGAACATCACCACTGCATTTCTTCTGTGAAGGCCTTTAATGCATCTTCGATTTTGGATGATATTAACCTGCAATGGAAAACAGTTTAATTTGCTAAAAGGGCATTTTAATATTAATAGGTACAATGTTAGTACGCTAACATTCAGTGTATGTTTGTCTACAAACTACATAAGTAGTTAAGTACACTAATATAGAGAGGTAGAGCTTTTGCAGAATTTAACTAAAACGTACCACCAGGGGGCAGCAACTCATTTGTTTTATTAGGAAAAGCCAACAGTGTGAGAGAGAAGTAATTCTGAATTACAAGCTGAACAGTGTCTGCAGCTGAAATCATTTTGTAGCTTTTATAATGGTATTTTGGGTTTTAGTTGAAAATCTCTGTGGCTTTCCCCCTCCATACTGTATGCTGACAGTAAAAACAGACATTAAAGTGGTTTTAAAAAAGTCCAGTTGATCAAATTGTCTGAGCTCGCAGGTGATTTAATTAAAATCCTGATATTAATTGTCCATACTCTAATAAGATGCCTGTTCAAATTAAATCCACCAATCAGAAACAGGCCTGAGATGTAATCTGCTAATCCAAATGATCCAGTCGAACTGATTTAAAATCACGAACTGAAAATAATTGCCCACATTTGAATCAGCTGTCAGTTGCCACGGTGATATCATCTCTCATCACTCACTGTCACTCTATATCCCTGTTAAATTTGCCCCGGCGCACCTCTTGATAAACTGTTTCTAAATCTGAGCCCGTAACTCATTTTTAAATGGTTTTTGAACCATAAGAATCCCAAGGACTTCCTTTACACGTTAATGGTTTCAAAAATATGGTCATGGTAAGAAAATTTCAAAAAAGGGGGCTGCCCTGCCTTTACTGGACAATCAGTGTAAATATAATAGATCTCTATGCAGCAGCTAGGTGGGATACCTGTCACTTGGATGGCTCCAGAGCAAAAAGTGTGAGAATGCTGGCTTAAAGAGGATAATTGCTAACATTTTTTTCTATATTCTGATGGGTGATTGATGGCTTTTGAGTGAAAACTGTGAATTTGGTGTGAATTTGTTTGAGTAAAAAAAACCCTCTCCTTCGCCCACTCACTGTTAGTTTGTCCCTCCACTCAGCACAGAGCTGCAACATAAGCTCAGAAATGGACTTAAAAAACCCCACAAAACTAAAATACAACTGAACAGAAAAAATAGTTTAATATCTTGGATCTGGCTTAAGATTTGATTGGTGTCTCTGCAACTGCTAAAGTTAAAGCTCAAATTAAGCAAGATTCAAAACTGATTTGAACAGTCGATCTGCTCGCACCCTAGAGGTATATAAACTAGTTAAATATACAAAAACATAAACAAAAAGAAAAATTAGGCTGTCACGCCAGTAAACGTGTTTGTAGTTCAACCTTTATCGTTTGTTTTTTTAACTTAAATTTTAATACAATTCAAGTAGAATTTATAAATGAACTTCACCATAACGCCAATGCATTATATTAATACTTTAGACAGAGTACCCACTGTTTCTTTATGCACAGATGGCTTATTCTTCCTGATTTCTTCTGTTTTTCTAACATGAGTCAGATGATATCTCCAAGTATAAGTACCCCTGCACCACATGGCTGAAAGCAATCTTTAGAAGGTCACTTCTGGGGGTCAGAAGGTCATCATTCTGGCAATAAGTATAGCCTTTCTCTAACATATTATGGAGCAAGTTAGATGTGTGAGCTATCTATAGACGTAGATTCAGAAGAACACATGCTGTAAATCTTTTAGCAGCTTCACTTGGACGTAGCTTGGCAACCTGAGATGTCACATTTAGATGAGTCATGTCACTGTAATTCGTTGACATTCATACCAAAGTGAAACTTTAGGCATACGGGAGGTGAAAAGGTCAAAGTGGCTATGTGAGTGAAACCCGATGCTCCTGCCAGAGAAAGGAGTTTCTGCTGCTTCACACAATGTGAATTAGAGAACTAAAAGTGAAGAACACATTTTAAAATACTTTGAAGTTAATTTAGCCAGACGCTCATATCATAATAATATCATAATACTACATAACACTGTAATATTATGGTTGCTAGTACACATAATCCACTATCCAAATATTGCCTGTATCATCCAAAACTAGTAATTCCTAAGACCTGCAGCAGAGTTTGATGAGTGAAATTGTGAAACACTTTACTTATATCATCACAGTACAGTCAAAGGTAAAACAAAGCCAATGCGGCACCTGCAACGCTGACACAACCTCACCAACCAGTGATATCATACCATTTATAAAATGCATTAAAAGGTTCATCTTATGACTATCAGAAAACGATACACTACCATGTTTTATTCATTAAAAAAAGTCATTATTATAAATGGTCATGTACACAGGATTTACATTTAAACGGTACTATTTACAATTACCCTCTGTAAATTTTAAGACTAATTATCATCACTGGAGGCAGTGTTTTACAAGCGTGTGAGTTGAAATGTTGCCAAACCTGTTCTGCTGTTCTTTAAACCTTTGATAATTCTCTCTAGCCATACCTATGTTCCATCCATCAGCTTCCACTTGATGTCCTTTTTCAGGGTTGCCTATCCCAGCTGTCTTAAGGCGAGAGGCAGGGTACGCCCTGGACAGGTCGCCAGTCGTGGGGCTAACACCTATACACAGACAACCATTCGCACTCACACCTATGGGCAATTTAGTTTCCAATTAACCTTTGGACTGTGGGAGGAAGCCATAGGACCCGTGGAAAACCCCCACAAAGACAGGGAGAACATTCAAACTCCACACAGAAAGACGCCGGCCTGATGGTGGAATTGAACTAAGGACCTTCTTGCTGTGAGGCAATAGTGCTAACCACCGTGCAACCGTGCTGCCCATTGTTATTGCAATGATAATGCTGTGTCGATTTAGTTCCTGCACCATGTTGTAGTCCATATTGGTATTACACAAACACAACTGGTCCTAGTTCACCTTCAGCTGATATCACAGAGGTCAGTACAAATACATAAAGTCATTGTGGTTGTTTTTTTTTTTCAATTCTGCTGCAAAGAAAAACCATCAGTGAAAACTTTCACCAGAAGGTGGCAGCATGAGTCTAGTTGCTCACCCAGGAACCGAACGTTTCAGTTCATTTAGAAGGTTTCAAACTCTTTAGGCGTAGGTTTTTGTTTTTGTTTTTTTTTAAAGATCTTTAACTAAACACAGGAATTTAGAACAAGTAGCAAGAGGCATGAAGAATACTGAGTCACGATATAAACCGAACATGCACGCTGCACAATATTTGCCCTGTGTCAGAGTGATTTTGATGAATGACTTCCTCCTGCAGGGAGCGTGTTAGAGCTGTGTAACACTAATCTGAGCTCACAGGCCCGACTGACTAAGGCCTTTGTTGCAGGAGAAAGAAATCTGTTCACCCTCGCTCTCACTCTCTTTTCTCTGGCAGCCTGATGATTTTTTTTAACATTTCTGATGAACTGAAAAGCACGTGTGTTCCTTCAGCGGTCAGCGGGGGTGAAAATGATCCCGATCATCTTGCGCCATTCTGCCATAAAGCACAGCTGTCCACCCAACATTAGCACATCTGTGAAAAGCTGAGCCGGCTGAAAATCGGAAGAAAAACTCTAGGTCGGATGTGCTATCGGAGATTTTGTCCCTCACAAATGCTGCAATAATACATCCCATTCACGATACTTTACTGCAGAGATCATAAAGCAGATTTAGAGGATTGGAATAAACATTTTTGTGAACTTTGGAAGAGCGAGCTACAGGCTGCACTGTCACACTTGCTTTTATGAGTAATGTCATGCTTTTTCAGCAAAGTCAGTAATCGCAGATTTTAAAATATGGATAAAGAAGTTTCCCACAGCCCCCTGAGCCACGGTTCTCATCCAGCCTAAAATACACCACCCTGTTGACCTTTCTCCCAGAAGTCCACCACCACCCATCCCAGCCCCCCAACTCTGTCTGCTGTCTTTGAATTATAACCTTTGCTCACTGGAGGCAGCACAATGTGACGATTGTGATTGTATTTTAATTCTGATGGCCAAGTGAAAAAAGATAGCTTCCTCTGAGAATGGGCTAGATTTATGGGCCCTGTCTTGGCCGCTGGCCCCACATCCTCTCTGATCTGCTTTTACTCCAACGACCCCTCGACCCCCGGGGGTCATTAGAGAGCCCCCGAATGGTGCGGCTGGCCACCAGCCCATCTCATACTGCTTGTTTTCCAATCAAATCACTATATTTAACGGGGACACGAGCCCAGGGCCAAGTCCAAACAGACATCTGTTTGAAATTGTTCCTCGCAATTATTTCACACAGAAGTTCTCCCTTTGCAACCCCCCCGCTGCACTCCTCGCCCCACTTTGGTCTTTTGTTTGTTGTTGTTTGTTTTCAGCTAAACCTCCCCCTCTGGACTGCTAATGGACAGAAATGAGCAGGGGGAAGTGAGAGGGAGGGTTTCAGGGTTGGTGGTGAGGGTCTGGCTCCTGGAACCGCTGTCACTGAGATATGCAGCCAGAGGAGAAAAGCAGAACCAGCCAGGGGTTTTTGATTCAGTACAAAGCAGGTTTTTCACTCTGAACAGGGAGCAGCTTTTACACTCAGGGGCCCTGAACCGCTGCCAGCTCACAATGACGTCTGCATCAGGACCATCACTCTGTGGCTTTTATACCTTAGTGACAGCATGTTGTGTAAACATGGCTAATCTGATCGAAGAAAGTGCACTTGCTATGATGGTTATGAACATTTGCTTTACTTTCTTGTTAAGACAAAAAATATATAAATTTTTTTAGCCACTGTAGGTATCTCATTCATCTGGCCTACGATGCAGAATAATTCTATTTGATCCTGAAATTACACTTCCCAAATGACAATGTGTGCTGTGGGTGCATCAATGTCTTATTCTTGTACCCTTTAGGGACTAAGAACATCAATCAATGCTGTTCATATGTGGCTAGAACCAAAAGTTCTTCCCTCCTTTGACACTTTGTTGAAACATGCGTCACATGTTGGTTTTGGACTCTCGATATTGTTTTGACTTCTGCCATGTTGGGCTTTTAGCACTAAAAATAACATCCAACCTAATCATCTAAATATGATTATCAACTAAGGCTAGCTAGCTTGACTTCATCAATAGACTGTATGGGAGCATCAGATAACAACCATAAAAAAATTCTAGAATTTCACTCACCAATACTGAAACACAGACTTCTTGGATTGGCCTGTTTGTACAATTAAGTGCAAAAGAAGTCACGTTACTGGTCAGTTAATTGAATTAAAAATGCTCCAAAAGGCTCCAACAGCACAGACACAGTCCAACGGTCCAGTTCATGAACTCTATTTAGCTAAGGTGAAACTTAGCAGATACCTACCACATACAGCCAACTGTGTCACCATCCATCTGTCATTCAACGAGACCATGATAACCTGATAATGCAACCTTTAAACAGGTGAGTCATAAAATTTTTCACCACTGTAAAGTTGTTATGAAAGGTAAAATTCGCTAAAGTTTAAAACTAAAATTTATAGAAGTCCGTTAACATGTTTACTTCTCCTGTAAAGTTTATGTAGAAACAGAAAAAACAGAAATATTTTTAGGAACTGAAGTTTTTTGTCAGGAAAATTAAAAAAAATAAATCTTTCTGGCTGGCAAAAATATGGGAATAAATCTTTTACTTGTGATTTTCCTGCAGCTAAACACACCATTGCAGCTATATACAATTTACGCTCAGTAATATTCACTGGATATGTAGATATTATGCATTATTGAAGGAATAATAATTAAACGCGTGACATTGCTGAGAATTGTTCTCAAGTTTAGCTCAGAATAGCTGTGCAGCTGTAGAGGCTGTGTTGGATATTTAAGTGTGTAGCAGGGGTGTCCCGTTGCGAGTCAAAAAGATGCTCTTAGTCACCACCACCCATGTAGCTGGATATTAGATGTGTGATAATGCTTTGTCACCTAAAATGGGACATTTTGACACTTTGGAGTGCTAAAAGCCGACATATCAGTGAGGCCTTCTGTGCAGTACCTAAGTTACACTAAAAGCCTGCCCTGGATTTTTCTTCAGGATTTTTTGACAAGACTAAGAGAAAAGATTTTTTTCTATACATTTTTTTGAAGGATTCAACCCCATGCTGATTTGTTTATGATTTATTAGATGACTATTTTTTCAGTTAAAGATACCACAGGTTGCTACTATTAACTGTGCACACATACATGTAATAAGTACCTTTAGAAAATGTGTATAAACCTTGTTACAACACCACATAAAATATTCTTAGTCAGCCCTGAACTATAAATAAGAACATATGTGACAAATTTATGGCTGCATACTTATGGAAACAATTTTATTTACTTAAGATTGTTTAAAACAAGTATTAAATAAATAAATGCTTATGTCACTTTTACATGAACTCTGCTGACCTTCAAAGGGTTCAGTTTCAGTGACAGACACACTGGGAATTATCACTCAACTGCATGCTTTTCTTTTGCTCTCAGTACTTTCAGAGATGTTCATCTTCATTTGCTTGTATTTGAATAGAAATGGGCAACCTCCAGGCTAAAAAATAAACCAGAAACCTGCAGTACTTCTAATGTTTGCTTGAAGCTGGCTTCTAAAGTTAAAAAAAAGGGTAAAAGACTTCATGCAGTGCTTGTTTTATAGTCCTGTGGTTGTTACAACAGAAATGTTCACAAAACCTTTCATGGGATGTGTTTTTTAGAACCCCAAACTCCATTTGGATACAGGAAGGACTTGGGAATGTGCTGCTTTGGATAACAGGTTTAGAACTACTAGCTGTCTCGGGGATCAGCTGTTACTGATTTAAGTCACTGAAGTGCTGCTGGTTACTTTTAGATCATTAATGATGGATTTGCCTGAAAAATAAAGTGTGTTGTTACAAGGTTATTTAACACTAATTAGTAGGGATTTGCATTTGTGGAACTTTGATGGAACTTGCTAACAAGGTAGCTAGAATTAGCTTAGCACGTCTGTTTCTAGTCTTTTTGTTTCTTTTTTGGTGTTTTCAGTTTGGTTTATTCATAGTTTCTGATTAATGTTAGGTTAAAGTTTTGATTTCCTGTTGTTTACCTGATATTGTTTCAGTATTTTAGGTGTTGTTCTTGTAACTTTAGAAATCAGCTCACTGTTGTGTTATTTAAATGTGGTTCCTTGTGTTTGTTACTCTAACCTCTCTGCGCCCTTTGATATCATGTTTATTTCGTGTTCTCTGGGTTCTGTATTTTGGTGAACTTTAGATATTTTGTTTGGTTTCATTGTTCTTGTTCATAACTTGAGATTTTGATTCATACACTAGAATTCTGATCCCTTAGTTCATGTATTTGACTCCTAGTCACTGTCTATAGAGCCTGAGTTTCCTCAGTGGCCCTTTTGTACAGTGTAGTTTGTTTCTGTGTAGTAGTTAACCTTTGAGTTACTTCCTATTTTATTTTGGTAGTTTGTTGCCTCCTGTTTAGGTTCAGTTTTCATCCTTCCCTGTCTTGTTGTCTTGATTGTCCTACCTGTGTCCAGTTTGACCCAGCTGTCTCCACTTCCCTGATTACCCCATATGGCTAAAAGTACTGTCTTCCTTCTGTCTTTATCACAGTGTCATCA